TACTAGGGAGAGAAAGAAGTGCTATTCCAGATGAGTTATATGATTTGTTTCTTCAAGAACATGAGGATATGTAGACATGAATAGATGATGATTCTCCAGTTAGTTTCTATCATGACCATGCAGTAGTTCTGACTCTCATAAGTGGATTTGAGCAATGACACGAAAGAGTATAAGGTCATATGCAAGACAAGTCAAGTTGTGGTGATCTGTTCAATTTATTGGGATCTTGTTCAATTACCTGAAGGAAAGAAACCCATTGGTTGCAAATGGATATTTAAAACCAAAAGGGATTCTCAAGGTAATGTGGAAAGATATAACGCACGTCTTGTAGCAAAAGGCTTTACTCAAAAGGAAGGGACTGACTATAAAGAAACCTTCTCTCCAGTTTCTTCGAAGGATTCTTTTAGGACAATCATGGACTTAGTTGCAAATCTTGATCTTGAGCTTCATCAAATAGATGTTAAGACTACGTTTCTCAATGGCAACATTGATGAAACAATATATATGGTGCAACCAGAAAATTTTGTAATTGGAGATCCAAAACATCTGGTATGCAAATTAAAGAAATCCATTTATGGACTCAAGCGAGCTTCTCGTCAATGGTACTTTAAGTTCAACTAAGTAATTGTCTCGTTTGGCTTTGAGGCAAATGTTGAATAATTTGGTACCATAAGTTCAGTGGTAGAGTTATCTTTTTTGGTCTTATCATGGGGGATGACATACTTCTTGCTACTAATTGTAAAGTCTTGCTGCATGAAACCAAAGTTCTTTCTTTCAAAGCTTTGAGATGAAAATTAGGTGGAGCTTCTTGTTTAGGATTCAGATACATCAAACCGTTCTGGAGGTATTCTTGGTTATCACCAAACAGAGCTATATTGATAAAGTGCTCAACAGACTTTGTATCAGAATTCGTAGACCATTGGATACCCCTATTGCAAAAGGTGATAAATTTAGTAATCAACAATGTCCAAAGAGTGAACTTGAAATTTAGGAAATGCAAAAGGTTCCTTATACGTCAGCTATAGGAAGTCTTATGTATGTTAAAGTTTGTACTCGTCCAGACATTTCTTTTATAGTTGGCATGTTAGGTAGATATCTCAGCAATCTAGGAATGGATCATTGGAAAGCAGCCAAAAGAGCCATGAGATATCTTCAGAGGACTAAGGGACATATGCTCACATATAGGAGATCAGATCAGCTTGAGATCATTGGGTATACTGATTCTGATTTCGCTGGATGGTGCCAAAGACAGTTTTAGAAATCCACCATCTGGCTGAACATTTTCATTGGCTGTGTGTATTTCTTGGAAGAGTCGCTGAAAAGCAAAACGTTCTCTAGTGTAGCAACCTCCACCATGGAAGCTGAATTTGTAGCATCTTATGAGGCATCCAATCAAGCTATTTGGTTGAGAAACCTTGTCACTGGGCTGCGTGTAGTAGGTGGAATAGAAAGACCACTGAAGTTGTATTGTGACAGCAGGTCAGTCGTTTTATTCTCCAACAACAACAGGAGCTCTTCTCGATCAAAACACATTGACATTAAGTTCTTGGCTACGAAGGAGAGGGTACAGAGTGGACAGATATCCTTAGAGCATATTGGAACAAACTCTATGATTGCGGATCCGCTTACAAAGGCAGTGATACCGAAAGTTTTAGACCCACCGCTCATTAGGTATCGTTTTGTTTGAACTGTCTAGTTTTAGTGGATTTGCTCTTTATGTTATGTTTTTGAATGCTCTATTTTGTTTTGGATATGTTTTATTATGTTGATGAAATTTTATTGAGTACTCATTTTGGTTGATGGTTACACTCTGTATTATTATTGTTTTGCTTGATCTCACTTTTGTTGGTGACCAGTTGGAAACAAACATGATGATCACATTACATTTAGTTTTCATCCTACACTTCTATAATGAATCTGTGTCATTTAGGGGTATTGGTAAGGTAGTTGATGATGAACTTAGTCATAAGATCTATGGCGAATGTTTCTTCAGCTCTTTATCAATATAATTAATGGACGAGATTGTTTTTGGATACCTCGTATGACTGCGTTTGTTGAGCTCATTTTGGTGTATGTATTTTATTTAACATCTCCAAGGGGAGTTTGTTGATTTAATTTCTTGTATTGTGGGCTTAATATGTAAAATTAAATATGTACAACAGTCCAATTGTAAAGTCAATTTCAAATGTGGTCTTGATTGTGAATAATTGACTATTGAGGTGTCAACTAATTATAGATATTAAGTGGAGAGACCATTATATAATTTCTATTTCGTTAAAGGACTGAAATAGGAATTGTACTAACCCTACAGGTATATAAAGGTCCTGGTCCCCAGAAGAGTTGAATACGATTCAGTTTTACGTTCCTTTCGTACTGCTTCCGCTAAATCGATTCTTCAATTCTCTGGAAGGCTGCAAACCTAAAGACATCAAGATCGAAACAACGATGTCAGGTACGCAACCTTTCTTACAACTATTTGTTTAATCTATGTTTGCACTGATCTATGGTATTATTGTTGGATTATTTGAGCATAATTGAATTTATTACTAACCCTTCAGGGTATATAAAGTCATCGTGTCCCCAGAGGAGTTGAATACGATCAGTTTTACGTTCCTTTCGTATGCTTCTCGCTAAATCCATTTTCAATTGCTTCTGAAGGCTGCAAACCTAATTTATACATCAAGCGACGAACAACTGCATACCAACCTTTCTGGTACGCAACCTTTTCTTATTCAATCTATTTTGTTGAATCTAGTGGTTTGCACGATCTAGGTTATTATTGTGGAATTATTTGAGATTAATTCTTAACAGTTCATTCTTTTATATTGTTTTAATCAAAATTCCAACTTTAATTTACTTCTAGGATGCAATTGCAATAAATTGACAAGTTTAAGGTGTTATAATTAACTTTTAGAATGCAATTGCACTCTAAAAATAAATTAGGGTGTAATTGTAAATAGGGATAATTGACAAGAGAGTCCGTTGAATAATAAAATTAACATTCAATATGGTAAGTACATATAAAATGAGAAATTAGAAACAAATTTTATTTTCTGTATCTAGAGGTGCGTTACGGGGTCAATTCTTTGGGCCAATAATGGGTCATAACAGATGGTGTGAACACAAAGAGAAGTGGGCCCATACATTATCAAACCGATCCTATCATCTACTTGTAATCTAATCTGCATGTATGCCACGTGGACTATGACTGCGGGCTTCCACACGTGGGACACCGCGTACACGGATTTCTTTTTTTTTTTTTATTGAACGTATTGTGGGGTGGTGGGGTTAAAAAATAAAAGAAAAGAATAGAAAGGAAATCTATCAGCCCACAGAAAGATAAATTAATTAATTAATTTAATTACTTAAAAAAAAGAAAAAAAAATAATCAGGTAAATCCAGTTTTTAGATTTTGGGAAATCCAAACCTTTATTTTTACTTTGCTTTGCAACGTACAGACTCGATTTGAGCTTTCTCCTGTTTTGTTTGTCCCGTCTACACGGTTCAAAAGGTACAACTCCACAAACAAAGTTGACATATCCCTTAATTACTAGATCCACCCTTCCACAAAAAATTAATAAAAAAAAAAAAGTTGACAATGACTGAACAAACAAATTTATATTATTCACATCATATATTAATTATGATATTTTAATTAATGCTAAGATTTATTTCGTTATTTTTAAAAGTTCAAAATCGGATAATTTTACATTTTTTTAAATACTAAAAAAGCACTTAAAAGAAAATGTTATCTCATTTTAAAATTCATAAATTATATTGGGAATCTATAGGACCTCATTATTGTAATTTTATTAATAAATACTACTCAATTTCTTAAAATATAAATTGTTTAGTTTAAGATTTTTGCATGGGTATAAAAAAAAAATAAATTCTCGTAAATTATAATAAAATTAAAAATAATTTAATCAAATTATCTTTTATCTCAAAATTAATTTATAAAGATAGATATTTTATCTAAGATAATAAAAATAACATTGAAATAATATTATTTATTACTCTTTAAAATACACAAAACAATAATCACCCTAAAACGAATATGGAGGGAATAGATTAGCTAAAAACTAATAAAATTTAGCTTATTTCATAGGATAAAGAGCTTCTTTTCTAATCAATCATGTGTGGTCTGGTTAGCATTCTCGTTTGTGTTGAGACCTTGAGACCTATTAATCACTAGAGATTTTATCAATTTGGTATTAAAAATTTAATATTTTTTTTAAATTAAAAAAAAAAACCTATAAGTATTGATATTGCAAATGGTAGATTTTGAGCCAAAATTAGAAATAAATTTAGTTTACGTAATATATAGATATACTGGGTGATAAAATTATACTTCCAATTAAAATTTAAAATCTACTCCATGCAATAATATAAAATGACAGCTCAGTCTCAGCATGCTTACATTAAATAAAGAATATCTATAAATTATTTTAAAACTACATATTTAATATTTTCAATTTTATTAAAAAATATTAATTTATTCCTGAATTACATTGGTCATTTATTATAATTCCAAAATTTAAATCATAATAAGATTAGGACACTTCAAAATAAAATAATTTTATATGTTTATTCAATATTTATTGGAGGTATAATAAACAGGGAGGATACGCAATAGACCTTTCACTTATATTTACTGAATTCTCCATATTTTTTACAATATGAAAATCAATCAGATCACACGAATTTATATTTCGATAACAAATAATAAAAAAAATAAACATTAATAAATGTAGCTTGCAGTGCAAGTTTTATATAACTGATTGCAGAGAATAAAGCCCCACCACTTCATAGATTTCCCGTAAGCCTGACGACAAGAGAACGCAATGGTAATGTGAACAAATAGAGACGACGCATAAAAAAAAAATAAAATAAAGGAAAATAAAAAAGAATTCTAGAGATAGAGAGAGAGAGAAGGAAATGAGTTTCCGCGTAGACAGATAAAGACTGGAAGGGACTGTACAGAAGAAAGAAAAAAAGAAAGAATGAGCGAAAGAAAGAAAGAAAGCTCTATTTTGATTTCGTTTTCTTCTACATCTGAAAGAATAACAAAAACGCTCTCTTTAACACCTCAGCTTCATAAAATATACCATAATATTACTTTTTTTTCTTTTTCGTTTCTTTAATTTCTTTCATATTGACGATTCACACTTCCTTTTCTGTTCACACCACCTTCGTATAAATCTTTCCTCTTCTTTCTCTCTCTATCTTTTTCCTTTCCCTTCTTCTGATCTGTTGATCGATCCCTTCTTTTTCTTATCTCTCTTTGCCTTACCTCAATTATTTCTCTTGTTGGTTGTATTTAAATGGAAGGACATCATCATCATCATCAACAACACCATCAACTTCAACATCAGCATCACATCAGTGTTAACGTTGACACTGATAGGTTTCCTCAATGGAGTGTTCAAGAAACAAAGGAGTTCTTGATGATCCGTGCAGAACTCGATCGAACTTTCATGGAGACTAAAAGAAATAAGCTCCTTTGGGAAGTAATTTCTAATAAAATGAAAGAAAAGGGTTATAATCGCAGCGCAGAGCAGTGCAAGTGCAAATGGAAAAACCTCGTTACTCGATACAAGGTAATTATTCGGTTTTAATTAATGATTTTCTTATAATTTCAAGAATCCTTTTCTCTTTATATAATATATATTATTGATTGAACTATGCATAATAAACAAAAGTAAAAAACCCTATATGTATTTTTTTTTTTAATTTGAAACTAAACTGTTTTTAAGGGATGTGAAACGATGGAACCTGAATCTTTACGACAACAATTTCCATTTTATAACGAGCTGCAAGCGATTTTCACTGCAAGAATGCAAAGAATGCTTTGGGTGGAATCAGAAGTAGGAGGAGCAGGTGGGTCTAAAAAGAAAGCGGTGCAGTTATCGTCAGACGAAGAGGATGATAACGAAGAAAGTGAGGGAGAGAAGGGAAGCATTAGAAAGAAGAAGAAGGGAAAAAGCATGGCAAATATTGGCAGTGGTAGTAGTAGTAGTGGAAATAGTAAAAATTTGAAGGAGATTTTAGAGGATTTCATGAAACAGCAAATGCAAATGGAAATGCAATGGAGAGAAGCATTTGAAGCGAGAGAAAACGAGAGGAGGATGAAAGAGATGGAGTGGAGACAAACTATGGAAGCATTAGAGAACGAGAGGATAATGATGGATAGGAGATGGAGAGAAAGAGAAGAGCAAAGAAGGATAAGAGAAGAAGCTAGGGCAGAGAAGAGAGATGCACTAATCACAGCACTTCTAAATAAGCTTAGAAGAGAAGAAATTTAAACATGTGTACGTTTTTTTAATTGTTTTGGAAGAAGAAAGAGGGGAAAGCTAGCTTTTGATAGAGGAGGTTTGTCTCTAGAACTCTCATTTTGGATATGTTAATGTTCTTTAATTATATATATATATATATATATGCTTTCATTATCATCTCTTTCTTTTCTTTTTTGCCCACTGGAAGAAATCATATATATTTCTTTATTTTGCTCTTGCTTTCACTATATGATCTTTCAATCATGAAATTTCTTTCATGATTATAAGCTAAAAGATAACTTTCTTATATAAATCATGAACAAACAATAGGGATTTTATTACTTATCAGAGTGGGAAGCAATAAGGTCATTGTGGTGCATACAGTTTTTTTTTTTAATGCTCCATTCTCCTTAATGGCTCTCAACTCCATTAGGATGGTGCATGTGTTGCAACTTTCACTTTGTCTCACATTTATATGCTTATAATAGTGTGCAGTAATTAATATGTAAATCAAACTCAACGAACTTCTAATTATTTCAAAATTGCTTTGTATATGTTGCTCGATGTTCAAAAATTCTTGTTTAGGCAGTTCATACCATCCATTATCACTTAATCAATGGGTGTTTTAGTTAAATAATGGTGTAATTAACAGCCCACAAGTACCACATGCATATCTTTTTGACCAAGAGATTAACCATTTCTTTAGAAATATTAATCTACGATGATGATAAATAATAATATCTTGTTTCTTGGTAAGGAAGTTTTCAAACCAAGACTGTGGTAAAAGTCAAAAAATGTGCATGACTAATGTGCTTCTGGAGATGGAGTGTCAGAGTTAGATATAGAATTGGTAGGCCATATATAGAAATATTGTTGGTGTTAAGTCTTTTTTTTTTTTTTTCCTTATTTTTGGTTCATCTTGATAGGTAGGAGGATATTCAAACCATTAATTAAGAAGTTGCATGGAAGATTAATTTGATATAATGGTGTAAAAAGTGTAGCCGTTGTTGAGCTAATGAGCTGCATTAATTTCTTAATTAGGTCAATATAATTTAAGATTTCCAACAACGTTGAATAGTATATATGTCGGTGACACAGCTTCAGAGGTGTGTATAGCTGCCAGAGGTTCCGTAAGAGGAAGATAAATGTTTGTTGATAGAACTGTTGCTTCAAACATATGATTTGTTTACTATAAGTTTGTTTTTTTTTTTTTTTTTTTTTTTTTACTATAAGATTTGATTAATTGATTTTTTTTTTTTTTTTTTTTTTTTTTGAGCATTACTATAAGTTTATTAATTGATGAACTATAAATTTTATACGTATATGATTATGTAACTCGTTGTTTATATTTTATTGAGTAATGTATGATTATTTCTTTTTTTGTTATTTTTTAAACAGTTACATTAAAGAAAAAGTGAGAAATGAAAAATTAGGAATATCTTAATTATATTGTAAGTTGAGGCAAGATACTATAGGTTATGACCAAAATAATATCTTGTAAGAAGGTATTTATCTTTGTAATGTAATTTATGAACATTTTAGAAAACTAATACAGGATATAAATAGATAGTTTTCAATGTATTGAAACCGTTAATCTGATTGTGAGTTTGAATATGGTATCTTTTTATACTATTGTTCAATGCAACGTTACTTTTTGACTTCTACTGAAACCACAGATCTGACTTGTAATTTCAATTTATTAGAAACTATGCACTTTGAGAACATTGTAGGATGTAATGCATTATTTTGAGAAATTGTTTTATTTCTATTATTCTGATACTAAACCTACAGCTACAGGGAGATGATTTTTTGTAGGAGAAGATGGAGATTGAGAAATGATTTTCTGTCCCCGACTTCACCTATGTCCCATTGCCACTCATCCTCCTCCATTTTCTTTTTATGCAATGTAATCAATGAAGTTAATCAGCCTCTTTCACTTGTTAAGACTAGCTAATTAACTTGTAACATGAAAAATTTTTGAAGTATTCAATACTCGTATTTAGTTGAGACTTTCTTAACCATGTATACTTTTTTTATCTACTGGAAAGTATATGTTTATATATTTTGTTCAGTTACCACAAAGTCTAATTTTATTATTGTTATTATTTGATTTATTTATCCATGAAATAGTATATGTGCTAGTTTATAAAAATTTATTTTAGCATATTGTTCAATTGTAATTATTTTAGCATATGTATGCTTATTGGAACTAAATATATTTTTTTCAGAAGCATTGATTTTTTTTTTTTTTTTTGGTATTTTTGGTATGTAAATTATTCATACATCAAACTATTTTAGTAAATATATTTGGAATAAATAAAGTTTTTATAGCATCTTTTTACTAAGGAAAAAGAGATAAAATAGTAATTAAACTAATAACTAACATGCAGTTCCATTAGCAGAATTGCATGAGTAATTATAGCATCGGGATTCAGGTGAGTTTTACATATATTATCAGGAGTTCAATGATTAAAGATTGAGGAGTCGTTACAATTGGGAGGACTAAATACGTACTATCTTAGGCTTGAGTATAGAAATACGTATCTAAAATAATAATAGTAATAAAGGTATGATAATTTCTTAAAATGACATCAAAAGTAGCTAAGCTTTTTCCTGAATTATTGCCCTAAATCCATATATCTTTGAATTGTTTTACACTGTTATATCATAAAACAGCTGGTTCAATTTCGAAACCATCCAAATGAGATCAGAGAATGAGTTGGCTATTTGTTGTCGTTGGATACCATTGGCTTCATCGCTTACCTCACCTTGATGCATTTTAAGTATCTACAAGTTCTTTCCTTTCATTTTTTTTTTTTATTATTTTCATTTTAAAATTAAATCTCAAATGTCTAAAAAAAATAGCTAAAAAAGATAAATCTACATATTTTTTTTCCTTTAACCACGAGGTGTGCATTTTTAATAAAGAGAATTAGTGAAAATAAAAATAAAGAGAAATAATTTTTAAATAATGATTGACGAACATGTGAGTAATGAATAGATTGAGATAAATGAGTATGAGTATATTATATAGCTATATATAGGCAGGCAACGAGCCTGAATGTATTTTTGGTGGTGGTGCTTAAACCAGCTCATCATTTACGCGTAAAGAAGCCAACTTGGTTGAACATTTTGATTTCCAGTTCATATCTACTACATGTGACCGACAGCCACCGCGCATATGACTCTGAGCTCGGATTTCAGATTAATTATTTTAAATTCAAAATTTCAAACGGAATTTCAAAATTTATATATTTATTCTTAAGTCTTAAATAATATTTAAGTAAAAATCCTTCTGATAGACTTCACTCTAAGACTATTGGCTGGTCAAAGCTATTTTTTTTAATGTTCTGTAACATAGTATTTAAATTAATTTTTAAATATTAAAGTAACATTTTATAAAATAATTATTAATCTTTGCAATGTTTATCTTTTTATAAAAAGCTACTTAAACAGATAAATACTATTAAAACAGTTAACAACTATCGAAATAGCTAATTTTACCGAATATGCTCTAATTAAATTTCGTTTCATGACACATTTTGTATTCTTTATCCTACGTACATGCATTACATGTTTCTGATTTAACTAATGAAAAAGAATATTTCTTTCACCTTAATTAGAAATACAAGAGGAGGGTTAATTTATATACATATATATATATATATATATATAAAGCAAAGCGTGTATCAAAGAGCAAGACTTAACCAGAAAGGAATTTCTGTCCGAAATGGGTATAGTGTCCTGCGTCAAACATTAAATAAGAGAGTAGATTTGGTCCATGTTCAAATGTTGGTGTTTGGTCAATTAAATGTTCTATGTTTTGCTAAACAGCTGAGCTGGAGCGTTCATGTCATTGGACACGTAAGTTACAGAGAATCCAGCCTTTGTACCTTCTTTTGGTACCCTATGTACGTATATTATGCTATAAAAAGTTAATTTCATTTCTCACGCTATGCATTTCGTCTCGAAACTTTGACTTCTAGTCGTAGGATACCCACATGGGAAGGATTTTTATATATTAATTGTATTATAAAAACTGCAATTGAAGCTGTAAATTAAGAATTTGCCTTTGGATTTGATTGTTTTAGTGTTAAGAAAAACTCCACCCAAACATGTGTATATATGACTTGGATTTATTTTTTTTTTTCCCCTTTTGAGTGACGGTGATAAAAAAAAAAAAAAAAAAAAAAACTCAGGAAAGAAGGCACAAATTTTTCTCGTCGCCTCGATATACTGCGGTTTATAGGTGTTCCTTACAGTCCGTGTTGACACAAACATTCAAATAGGAGTATCTATTGATAATTTGTAGTGCATGCTTCTAAATCTTATGGATGGATTTGGTCAATTTTAAATGCTGATCCTCTATCTGTGTTTTGCTCCAAACATTCTGAGACTGGAAGTCGGTTCATGTCAGTTTTGAACATCTGTAATGTATAGCAAGTAGAATGTCCAGCTTTGTAGCCTTCTTTTGGTACCCTATTGTACGATTTGTCAAATTTCAGTTTATGCAATAAGATATTTTGTGCGAAGATAGGCTACTATCATACCGAACTACTTTGTCACAAGAATTTACGGTCTTCTCGTAATATAGCTCAATTGCGACTATCTTGTCGTAGATAGAATATACACCATAACAATATGCTAGGAATGGAATTTTTTACTTATTAGATTGAATTGTATTTATAATAAACTTGCCTAATTAGTACTGGAAGCTCTATCCTTCAAAATTTATAGAATGTGATAGATAGTGTGAATATGTATCTGTTTTGAGATGTTATTAGTATACAAACATCTCTCTACACCCAAAACATATAGTATGACCTATTATGACTTGGATAATTCTATTAAATAGTAATTTTATATATGCCCGTAATGTTGTGTAGAATGATCAGGTGTATTTATAATAATATATAAAATGAAAGAAATAAAAAGTGAAGAATTTCTTATCTGTATTGTCATAATGTGTTCGACTTAATAGCAAACTAAACTATATCACTAATACCACGCACTAAATAATAATATTTTGACTTTGCTATATTTTTCTTTTTAGAATTTAAGGTATGTTCTATAGGTTTTGGTTATTGATAGTTTATTGACACTAACGCTGTTTCCACGGTGCAAAGAAGGAGAAACAAAGAAGAAATATAGATCTTCCAAGAAGGTACCATGCTTTCGAAGGAAATTATCTTCTGCTGTAACAAGTTAATAATTTGTATTGTTACTTACTAATGAAAAAAAAAAAAAAAAAAAAGAAAATCTTTTATTGTTATTTTGACCTTGCACTTAATCCTAACACCCCACTAAATAAAATATTTGACTTGCATTTTTCTTTTTAAATTAAAGTTCTAGTTTGGTTTAAAATGACTAACTTTTCGGGGAAAATATAATTTCCAAGAAGTACACTTTCAAGAAAATTATCTCTTATAAAATATAATTTGTATGTATTTAATGTGCAAATCAACTTTCTGGAAAGTGAATTGCTCTCAAATTACAAATGCAATGATATCCATAATATAAATTTGAGTGAACTTAGATAATAGATTAAATTAGTAAATTCATAGCATTTAACTAAGGAAGTGCAATTTCTCTATCCATACTTAAAGAACTTATTTTCCTTGTGTAAGAGAAGTTGGATGATCTACCTTTGAGAAAATAGAATTGATAATACAAATCAAATACAAACACTTTATATACTTCCCTGGTCTACTTACTCTAACCAAACATTACCAAAATTTGTAATTGGACATAAAAAAAGTACATTTAATTACATTAATGCATGCTTATAGTTTCAAAAATTACTTGGTCAAAAAGATTAGTTAAGATAAATAAAAGGGATCCAAGATGCAAACACTAATCCTTAATTGCTTTTGGTAGGTTGGAAGAGCAAAATAATTGAGTGGACCTACAAATACAAATTCATCATTACCATCAAAACTGAAATCGTTTGTTCCTTCCCAGCAGAAGCCACAATGAGACGTGTTTTTATTTATATTTATATTAATTAGTATTATGGAAATTATAGGCAACAGGCTGGGTCCTCTTTTGCGAGCGTTATTATGTCGATCGCTGAAAATAAATGGGCCTCAGGCCCTACAAATCAACCACTACGCAATTCTCATTAACCGTCACAAGTGACGCTAGCAGGATCACGATTTGGTGGGTCCCAGCCCATGGAAACGCGCTTTTTCTTCCTTTTCATTAGCGATATGGTAA